ATGTCATGTGATGTAACCTCTAGGAATATGTCCTACCAAAACTGGCAACCCTACCAGCCTTGCCAGCCCCAAAAGTCAGACCTGCCCCAAAGTCAAGAAAATGAAAATAATGATAAATTACATTGTTTTTTTTTTTTCGCATGTGGCTTTTGATTTTCTGAACTCTTCCTGCCCAGCCCCAAAGCATTTGGGACAGCTGCAATGTTGCCAACTCTCCTAACAATAAGATGATTGTGCCCCCCCCCCCCCGCAAGTGCTCTCGGTTGGCTGCCAGATGATGCAGAGCTGCCAGCTTCTCCTAAGCCACAAAAAATATAATGAATGAATGCTGCTTGCCACACTCCCCAACCCCCAGTCCACGTCCAATCTGCCCTTTGCTCCTCTTGCAGTTCTAAGGGTTCTTCCCCCAGACTCCAGGTCTGCGAGGGCAGATCCAGCACATCCCTTTCTCCCCCTTCCCAGGCTGGGGAGATGGGAGGCAGCTCCAGGGGTTCTTCACCTCCTCTCCCCTTCCCAGGCTTCGTGTTGCAAGATGGAGAGGGAAGGGGGAGGAGCACAGAGCAGACTGATCACTTTTTTTCACAAGCGGGGAAGAGGGACCAGATCTCCCTGAGCTGCTGGGGACTATCTGCTCCTTCCTCTCCCCCTCCCCTACCCCAAAACACCTCTGGGCTCCTGAGGGGAGAGATAGCAACTTGTCTTCTGCAGGAGCCCTGTTTGTCTGCCTTCCCCATTTCCTCACCTCCTGGGCAAGAGCCGCCAATCAGAGAGAGCTTTTCCGTGGGCAAGACTGGCAAGACAACACTGCAGTTTTCAGTTGCTTATAACTTTGCCAATCTTTAACCATTTGGGCTGAAACTTTCTCTGCTGGGTGGCTGCTTCAGGCTGAATTTTTTGTTAAATGTCATTTCCAAGAATGAAGTTGGGCGAAATAATATGTGATTATGTATCATAATGAATACACAAAGGGAGGCATAATTAAGGTTGCACTGACAACCTGAATTCTGGTACTTCCTAATTATTGAGAGTTTGACTTTGCAACCTTATTGTTCTTGTAAAGTAGGGATTTTTTATGAAATATATACAGATAGAGACCTTTACGCTGCAGAGCTGTCCAAAAATTGGATGGAAGATGTCCTCATTTGGGATTAATTTTAAAGTTGTTTTTAAAATTTCTCTCTCTAATGCTGGATGCTTTGGTGTGTGTAAGACGTTTAAAAGGTAACCAATCTATTTCTGAATCCTCAAATGGTCCCAGAAGGAGTTGACATTATTCAGAGGAGACATGGTGGGTGGGGAGGGGAGGAGGAGATGATTTTTCTGTCTGGCTCTCTGTCTGTCTGACCCAATGACTATTTAAGTATTTATCCACAGCAGACAGTGGTTGGATCAGAGAGAGAGTGAGTTGGTAGTCCAGTGGTTAGGGCATCCACATGGAAGACCAGGATCTAGTCCCCCTGCTCCAATCACTCTTTCATTATTTATCCACAGTGGCATAGCCTTAAGAGGGGAAATTGAGGGAGCCCCCCCACCAGAATAGATCACAGTGGAGCCTAAAACTGGGATTTAGGTGCCTAGGTCAGAGGATTAGGTGCCTAAGTACCTTTGTTGATTCCACCCTTATGTCTGACTTCTAACAGTCTCTGTTCTCCCTTGCAGCTGAACCAATTTAGCAAGAATAAAGATTATTCAGCTGTCAAACTCTGAAATCTAAACCAAAATTCAATATATGTAATATTTGAGTTATGCCCGGTCCTAATTCCTCTGTCTTTTCTGCAGCAGAGTCCATGCTCCAGATTTAAACTATACGGTCTTTAGGGAAAGCACTATCTTTCGTTATATAGTGTCTAGCCTAGTGGGGCCCTCATTGTTGACTGGTACCTGTTGCGCTATCATAGTACAAATAATAAATTTCAGCTGAGCCTGTCAAGTCTCTATAGGCATTGGACGTTTTAATTTTCTTGTAAGATATGTTGTTTAGTGTTTGTTTGTTTTTAATACTCTACAAAAATGGGTAAACAAATAATTTTAACTCAAGCTAATTTAAAAGGAGTGAATGATATCCCTGGGAGGTGAAACTATGAGTTCTCAAATGGCTTGGCATTACAAATGGACTTCTCCCTGGCTTTTTTCATGAAAAGAGACCTTCCCTGAGGTTCTTGTATCCCAATGAGATGCAAAACTAGGGCACGGTAAATAAGCATGCATTAGAAATGTATTCTTCCTTGTGGAAGTAATCGGATTAGACCATTGAATGTAATCCCTTCTAATGTCTCCAAGTGATGGACACCAAAGGCAAGATTGACTGGTGGGATGCATCTCTTGGAAAAATAATCACTTATTCAACCAGGGGGCTAGGAATCACAGCATGCATGATTTCCTTCCCACACTTTCAGCTCTTACTCATCAGTTTTCTTTAGCAGAGCTTGTGTTAATGAGGAGGTACTGCAAGCATCACCATTCTTATTTTTATTATTTGCATTATGGTAGTGCTTGGGAGCCCCAACATGCACCAGGACTCCAGTGTTCTGAGAGCCGTACAAACACAGAACAAAAAGACAGTCCTGCCCTCAAAGAGTTTACAATTTAATAGAAGATAATACAACCTTCATCACATATACTACTTGTCAGGTGTGCTTATGCTAATGGCATTATTTCACAAGGAGGGAGGAAGAGCTATGTATAACATGGACAAGCAGGATATGATTTATTACCAAGAGCTACTTAGTGCAGTAAGATGACTGCTAGCATTTTGCTTCGTGGTAGGAGATCACATTGCACATGGCTCAGGAATTTTTAGCACAAAGCAAGACGACTATATCATACACTGTTATTAGTAAATAATCAAATCTTACAGTGCTTGGGCTTCACTGATGAAGTCAGTACAGCTGTAAGAATAGCTACAATAATGACAGTCTGCATTTCCTTAGCACATTCCATTGGCAGGGCTTAAAGGACTGAGCAAGCCCTACAACGCCATAGCAGTGAGCTAGACGCATGAGTAAACTGAGGCAGAGAGGCTGTGAGTGTGCTAGGGCTACAAAACAAGAAAATGGCAGATGTGCAAACAAAACCTTGGTGTGCACGTGTTCTCCGGCTTGTTACGCAATGTAAAATACAAGGACAAGTTTTTAAAAAGCGTCTCTTTAAATCCGAACATCCTTCCTAACAACAGTTTGGCGTGTTAGAGACAGACGTCTTTTACAGCCATCACTTTCCTTGGCAGTGTACAAAGTGAAGCTGTGCCTCTGTGTATCTCATGGAGCTTCGCTCCCGGAGATCAGGCTGACAAGGTCCCTGGTGGTTGACCTGCGGAGGAGCTGCGCCCACAGCAGCACCCAACACAGTTTGCAAGTAAACGTAAGGACTATGTTCCTATTCTTCTTGGTGCAGCGGGAAAGGTTTTGCGAACCCGCCTTTCCCCCTGCCGGGAAACGGGGCAGTGGATGTTGGGGAGGATGGACTGGGGTGTGGGGGAGGATTCAGTGCCTGGGGGAAGGATGGGGGTAGAGGCATTTAGAACAATTGTTGTTGTGTGGGTACTCAGAACTATTCAGCAAAACTGTAAACTCTACATATGCTGGAAACCACTTCAAGCCACGGGGTGCTGCTGCACCCACAGGACCCCGAATTCCAGCACCCCTGGATAGGGGGTATAAGGGGTCGGGGCAGCGGATGGAAGTGGGGGGATTCGTGCGGGCGAGCGGATGGGGGAGGGTATCAGAGGTGGGGGAAGCGGAGCAGTGGAAGGGATGGGGAGACTGGGGGGAATGAGGGAGGATATCGAGGGTGGGAGGCAGCGCATGGAGAGGGGAGACGGATGGGGAATACGGGGGGTGGGAGGAGAGGGGAGTGCATCGGAGGTGGGGGGAGCGGGGCAATGGTGGGGTGGCAGATGGGGGGATTCCCTGCCGCGGGGGGGTGAGGATGGGGGAGGGTATCGAGGGGAGCAGCAGGGTGATCCCTTTCTTCCCCGCCCCCTTGGGCGCCTCTTGAGCCGGGGCCGCCCGCGAAGGGAGGCACGATCCGGGGAGGGCGCACTGAGGACATGGCCCTTCCGTAAACACCATCCAGCCCTTCCCCCTCCCGCCTGGACGGTTCCATTCTGTCGGGAAAGGGGGGCTCCTACCCCCCGGAACAGAACTAAACCCGGAACCGCGGACTGGCGGAGCGGGAGGGGGATCCTGCCTCTCTCTGATTATTGCCCCCCCCCCCAAGCCTCCATCTGCGTGGCCGAGGTGAGCGACCCACAAAGGGTTAACCCCCCCCCCCCGCCTCTCGGCGGGATGGAAGCGCCCAAGGAGCTACTAATAGTCTTGGCTAAGTGCCCCGCGGGGGTTTAAAGCCCCGACCGCGCGGACAGCTGAGCGGCAGCGCGAGAGGCAGCCGGGGTCGCAGGGTGAGCCCCCTCCCCCCATCCCGGGACTGCCCAGGGAGCTGCCCGTCCAGGGCTGGATGAACGCGGGTCCGCGGGAGCGGCCGGGTCCCTGCGGGGGGGTGGGGACTGGCTGTGCCCCCCCTCCCCCAAATGGGCGGGCGGGGGGAGGCTGGGTTTTGGGGGTGTCACGTTCTGGGCAGACGTTCCCCCACTGCACCAAGGAGGCAGCTGAGCCCCTCCGGCGGCGGTGCCGGGGGGGGGTCGCTGATTCTCCCCCCCCCCCGTTTGTAAACAAACCCCGCTTGCCCCTTGGGGACTGTCTCCTCCCCCCCCCCCCCGCGTTGGGGCGCGGGCAGAGCCTGGGGGCGGCCGAGCGGGGCCGGCCCCGGTTCCCTTGGAAGCGCTGTTTGTTTTGCTGGGCTGGTGCCAAAGCTCCTGCCTCGAGGCGCTGCCCAAAGCGCGGCTGGGGGAGGAGCCCTGGCCAGGCGGGGCGGAGCCGCCGGGGCGAGGGGGCCTGCAGGGGGCAGGTGGGCCCCGGGGTGCGGCGGCGGCTGGCGGTGGAGGGGGAGTAGAGCCGCCGCCGCCCGGGTGCTGGTGTGTGAGGCGGGGGAGCGGGGCCAAGCTGCTCCTGCACGGCGCCCGTGGGACTCTGCGATCGGCCCCAAGGGCTGGCAACCGCCCCGCTGCGGAAAGGGCAGCGTGCCCGCGGGACGGAACATCCCCCCCTGCCGCCCCCTGAGGGCGGCTCCTTGGCGTGACAGCCCACTTTGCCCCGCGCCTGACACGCCTGATTTCGGAAACTAGCAGCTGTTAAGCAGTAGGAAGATTTGTTACCTCTGGAGACGTTAGTGCTCACCTAGGCTGGCAGAGAAGCACCATCCATCCCTTCAGAGAGCAAGGAGCACACCCACCTTTGAAAACAAGGTACCCTAGCGCAGTGGTTTTCAACCTGTGGTCTGTGAACCCTTGGGGAGGGTGTCAGCAGACTATGCCTAAGATTTCCAAAGGCATCTGCATCTCCGTTTGAAAATGTTTGTTGATCCGCACATGAGAAAAGGTTGAAAATCACTGCCCTAGCTTTGCTGAAACTGACATCGTTCTCACTGCTTGTGTTGATGGTTCTGTGAGAACTAAGAATGTGTCTTGAGTTTAAAAAAAAAAAAACAGCAAAAAAACTTGTCTATATATTCTCGATAGAAAAGCAAGAGTGGGCTCTAGACAAGAGTTTTTTCTTTATACTAGCAAAGGACAACAGGGTACTGTAGTAGGTGTAAACTTTAGTGACATAAATGTGCTTGTATGTTAATCGTCATCCTACTTAGCAGCCCATAGCTAACTGGTCATCTATGTAAATTTAATCAACTAACAATAAACACACCAGACCTGAAGAAATATATTTGGGAGTAAAGGTTTGAAAGAAAACTGAGGAATCCCTGAAGACCCCAATCAAGAAAACTAATTGATGTTCTAAACAAATGTTTCCCTTGCTGTAGACAAAAGATAAGATGTCACACACAAAAACTTGTGTAGATCTCTCAGCAAAACACTTCCTAACAATCAAAAAAGGACTGGTGGTTCAAACCAAACAAGACTAATAACTTGTTACAAACTACCGTAGACTAAGAAGGAAAGTGAGGGAATTCTCTGTTAAAACAGAGCTTCCACTAGCCCCGACATACTGTACACGTACATATCAATGCTACAGCAGAAGTGTCAGCACCTGATGGGGGGGGGGGGGGAAGTAGCACAAACAGAAGATGCAGTAGGCACTGGCTTGTTCTGGCAAAGGTAAAAAGAACTTAAACCAAGTGAAAAGAAACAAGACTCATCAATCCAGACTAGTAAATGTTGGGCAGAACACTTCCAAGGCCTACACAAAGGGAGCCAGCGTGGAAATCTTACTTGAACAAAACAGCATTATTTTTAAAAAATGCGCTTAAAGGCTCTATTAAAGTAAACTGACAGTCCTCCCTCAAGATACCTTGTATATTACATGAACTAAAGGAAAACCTTCAGGAAACTTAAACTAGGGGAAATCACATGGCCCAGATAATATCAAAGAAGAAACCTAATATACCCAAAAAGAAAAGGAGTACTTGTGGCACCTTAGAGACTAACCAATTTATTTGAGCATGAGCTTTCGTGAGCTACAGCTCACTTCATCAGATGCATACCGTGGAAACTGCAGCAGACTTTATATATACACAGAGAATATGAAACAATACCTCCTCCCACCCCACTGTCCTGCTGGTAATAGCTTATCTAAAGTGATCAACAGGTGGGCCATTTCCAGCACAAATCCAGGTTTTCTCACCCTCCACCCCCCCACACACAAATTCACTCTCCTGCTGGTGCTAGCCCATCCAAAGTGACAACTCTTTACATAATCAAGTCGGGCTATTTCCTGCATAAATCCAGGTTTTCTCACATCCCCCCCCACCCCCATACACACACAAACTCACTCTCCTGCTGGTAATAGCTCATCTAAACTGACCACTCTCCAAGTTTAAATCCAAGTTAAACCAGAACATCTGGGGGGGGGGGGGGTAGGAAAAAACAAGAGGAAACAGGCTACCTTGCATAATGACTTAGCCACTCCCAGTCTCTATTTAAGCCTAAATTAATAGTATCCAATTTGCAAATGAATTCCAATTCAGCAGTTTCTCGCTGGAGTCTGGATTTGAAGTTTTTTTGTTTTAAGATAGCGACCTTCATGTCTGTGATTGCGTGACCAGAGAGATTGAAGTGTTCTCCGACTGGTTTATGAATGTTATAATTCTTGACATCTGTCCTTGCCTACAGACAGCCCCGCAACCTGAAGCAAATACTCACCAACAACCACATACCACACAACAGAACCACTAACCCAGGAACTTATCCTTGCAACAAAGCCCGTTGCCAATTGTGCCCACATATCTATTCAGGGGACACCATCACAGGGCCTAATAACATCAGCCACACTATCAGAGGCTCGTTCACCTGCACATCCACCAATGTGATATATGCCATCATGTGCCAGCAATGTACATTGGTCAAACTGGACAGTCTCTACGTAAAAGAATAAATGGACACAAATCAGATGTCAAGAATTATAACATTCATAAACCAGTCGGAGACTGGGAGTGGCTAAGTCATTATGCAAGGTAGCCTGTTTCCTCTTGTTTTTTCCTCCCCCCCCCCCCCAGATGTTCTGGTTTAACTTGGATTTAAACTTGGAGAGTGGTCAGTTTAGATGAGCTATTACCAGCAGGAGAGTGAGTTTGTGTGTGTATGGGGGTGGGGGGGATGTGAGAAAACCTGGATTTATGCAGGAAATAGCCCGACTTGATTATGTAAAGAGTTGTCACTTTGGATGGGCTAGCACCAGCAGGAGAGTGAATTTGTGTGTGGGGGGTGGAGGGTGAGAAAACCTGGATTTGTGCTGGAAATGGCCCACCTGTTGATCACTTTAGATAAGCTATTACCAGCAGGACAGTGGGGTGGGAGGAGGTATTGTTTCATATTCTCTGTGTATATATAAAGTCTGCTGCAGTTTCCACGGTATGCATCTGATGAAGTGAGCTGTAGCTCACGAAAGCTCATGCTCAAATAAATTGGTTAGTCTCTAAGGTGCCACAAGTACTCCTTTTCTTTTTGCGAATACAGACTAACACGGCTGTTCCTCTGAAACCTAGTATACCCAGGCAGCCATTCTAAAATTGTTTTACCTAATCCTGCAATCTAGATATTTCCCTGATATATGTCATGTGTAGGGTGACCAGACAGCAAGTGTGAAAAATCGGGACAGGGGTTCGGGGGGGTAATAGGAGCCTATATTTAAAAAAAAAAAACCAAAAACCCAAAATTGGGACATCGGGCCACCCTAGTAGTATGGACTAATTATCTCAATATATAAAAGCAAGATTCCCTTAACCCAAGCAACTATAGAGGTATCTATGTCAGCAGCAAAATATTCCGTAGTATGTTCCTTTACATTGTTAGTCAAATTTTGTACTCTTTTAATCTGTGAAAGTCAAACTGGATTCTTCCTGAGAAACTGACCCCATCTTTACCTTATCTGTTCAATATAGGTTTTTGTACTGTGTTTATCACCATAGTCTCTGAGAACCTTCCAATAGTATGTTAAGCAATATGGCTACACATCTGTCATTTGTTGTTTGTTCTCTCATTTCTTCCCCAGAGGGAGAAACAAATGGATTGTCTTGTTAAATATATCTGTATGTATGTTTGTATTAGAGAAGGCAAGGTCAAAGAAATGTGCCTTGCACTTGTAGTAGATAGTGGTGCTGTTTGTGTTAGTGCTTACTTACTGGTGGAGTTCGTTCCATGTTCTCAGACCACCCCCAGAGAAGGTTGTCTTCCACACAGACCAGCTTTACTTTTTTTGCAGCAAGTTCCACTGTGCCAAAGGAATGAAGTTGTTGACCATGCTCTCTGTCCCTGAACTTTTAACAGTGTTTTGGGTATCCTGTGTCCTCATAACAAACCTGTAAAAAGCCAGGGGAGAAGATTTTTCTGCTTTGTAGATTTAAAAATAGTTGTTGATTCAGTCTAACATCCAGGAATGAACCTTAAATTGCTGCACAATAGAATTGGCAGAAAACCACATAACCTAATTAAAATTCATGTGCAATCCACCCAAATAAGCATGCCACCAAAGGCCTTCATGTAAAAAGGGGAGTAAAATAGGATGTAACTTCAGGTTGAACCTTCTTACATGCTAGTGACTTATCAGCCTTGGAACAATCCTCAAACTTAGGGAAGGTCTACACTAGAAGCACTACATTGGCACAGCTGCACCAATGCAGCTGCGGTGAGTCTGGTGAAGACACTCTATGCCAAGAGGAGAGTGCTCTCCCGTCAACATAATTACTCCACCTTCATGAGAGGCAGAAGCTAGGTCGATGGGAGAGCGACCTGAGGAGACACACTAACTTCTGTTGCTCGGGTGGGTGAGTGTCATTTTTTCACACCCCGAGTGACATAAGTTAGATCAATTGAAGCAGTAGTGTAGATCTGCCCTCAGTTTTTCTCTCAGTTGTATAGTGGGAATCCCATCTATGTAGTTGTACTATCATCTAGGTGAGATGGCAGCTCATAGGACCCAGTAAGTGAAACTGGAAAACAAATACATTTAAAAGTCTGAAAACAAACTAAAATGCTGTAAAAGAAATAAGGAAACTGAACAAGTGCTAAATTATATTTGTACTTGGCCGTCCAAAATAAATTTCAGGGAGCTTAGACTGGCTATAAAAGCATTGCAAAAAAAGCTATTCCAGTTCACATAGACTCCTAGATTAACCCTCCAGTATAACTACTGTGAAAAAGTAATACGATAATTCAACCCAGTCTATTAAGTAGAAATGCAGTCTGGAGCCCAATTTTAGCAGTTAATTACACTTTTGGGGACAAACTCTGTAAAACATCTGCAAACTAATATATGTACATTTTCCCCCTCCTCCACACACTGCACCCTGAACAATGACTGCAGGGCAGAGCTATTGCTTTCCTCCTTCTAGTGCCATCTCAACCAACAGAGCCAATTTTCTTTCCATCTCAAGCTTCTGGAAGGTATTAAAAAAAAAAAAAAAAAAACCCACCATAAATCCAAGTGAAAACCAGATCCACTCCCAAATATTGTTGCTGAACAACTATAACACCCTGACAAGTAACATGATCCGTACCACCCCATATCACATATATACTCAAGATATTGGACCAACGCATAAAAGTCACTGGGAAGAACAAATGAAAAACAAGATAGTTCTGTCCAGTGATCTTCAATACTCTATCATGTGGGCAGACTACCTCACTACACTGAATGTAAAAAGCTAAGTTTGATTCTTGCCAGCTACCCAATTGGTGGCCACAAATGGGGGGGATACAAAACACACTCTAAATCAAGAAGAGAAACTTTAGACAGATAGCTTTCTTTTTCCAATCTCCAAAATAGGAGGGAGTACAAGAGATTTCCTGGATTTATCAGGGATAATAAACATTTTATATAAAAAATCAGGGAGGAAAAACTGAGTGCACAACTTGGAAGAAAGGAGACTACATTGCAGAGAAATGATCGCACTATATAGCAACCTACGTCTGCATCAAGAATGCCCACTAATGTTTATGGATGCAGGGTGTATATATATATTATGTACATTTAGAAAATGTGAATCCCTCACCTGAGCAGTTTGTACTTACCTCTGACAAACACCTGTTGGATGAGCTAATTTTTTTTTAACGTTCTGAATTAATATTTCCAGTTTCTGCTTGTTATGCACAGAAAATATGGGGTATGGGTGTGTGCTTATTGTTTGGTGTATCTGTTACAGTAACAACATGCGAGTAATGTCCAGATCCACAGTATTAAGATCTGTGCAGAATGCATTTCCTTAGCCCTTCCCCCAATACCCCAGAGAACTTCTCTAAGAAATAAGTCTTTGCTAGCAAAGGTCATGATACTCTTTCCCTGTGTCATCTTGTGTTGGGGTGCTCGGTTTATAATTAAAAGCTTGTAAACAACTACATTAACAAAATGAATAGGTTCCTCTGTTTCATGCATACACATGCCTCTGCTACAGGAACAGGTGTTAGTTTTGAGTCACTTGGTGGTACACAGGTGTGTGCATCACTATCAAGACCCTTGGCTGTTAATATCAGCAGAGTCAAAGTCTTTTGAATGGGCATAGAAAGTGGATTCACTGCTTGTTCCATGAATGTGGACCTTCCCGCTAACTGTTGAAGCATGTAGTGGCATTGCAAGCTTTCCTCACAATCTGTTCAGTCTCTTTTTCTGGGGACAGGCATCCTCAATCTGCAGGTTTGCCAGGCACCTATTTATAACAGCTTAATACACTCACATGTAAGAGTTAACACCTGTAGTGAATATTCTACATTGTGAGGAAGAATTTTTTTTAAAGCATGCAAAATAATGCCATGTGTCAGAGGTCTAGTCAAGCACCTCCTCATGGCCAGTCACCAGACTGCTGTGAGGGAACTGAGCTGCTAGATCTTGTGTGTTTTAAGCCTCCAGTCTGAACAGAATCCAGTTGCTGCCGCCAGTTTGGGGGGCAGGGCTATCTGGCACCCACTTCTGAGAGATCAGAGCATGTGGCCCAGAGTCCCTGGAACTAGTGCTGGCTCCTCAGACTTCCTCCCCTACTAGCCCAATAACTTAAATACCACCTTTTCCAGAACTCCATGTGAAGGAGTGAGCCTTCTGGTTTACCTCTTCAAGGGGCACATAGGATATGTCTACACAAGGATTAAAAAACCTGTGGCTTGCTCAGGTCAGCTAACTCAGGCTCAGGCTCTGGGGCTGAAAAATCGCTGTGTAGACATTCAGGCTCAGGCTGGAGCCCAAACTCTGGGACCCTGTGAGGGTGGAAGTTCCCAGAGCTTGGGTCCCAGCCTGAGCTCAAATGTCTACACAGCAATTTTTAGACCCAGTAACCCAAGTCAGCTAACCTGGGCCAGCTGCAGCCATGCTGCGGGTCTTATGTTTCTGTGGATATGTCTACACAGGGATAAAAGAATGATTCATCTAGTCCAGTATCCTGTCTTCTGACAGTGGCTGGTGCCAGATGCATCAGAGGGAAGAATCCAAACAAGGCAATTACCGAGTGATCCATCCCCTGTTGGCCAGTCCCAGCTTCTGGCAAGTGATAAGATGGTACAGGTTTATAACACAGCTCTTGCTATTAAATTGAGAACTAACATTTATACAAAAATGCTTTCAGTGTTGTTGTTTAGTTTAAAATTATGTTATCGTTATTGTAAAAAATGTAATAAAACTAGCACCTTCCATATTCATCCTAACCATGCATTGTCGTTGCATTCAACTGAAACCCCAAAGGCGAAGCCATTTAATTTAAAATAAAAAAAATACCAGGTTTTAATAAAAATAAAGGTTTAAAACTAATAGTTGTGCTAAAAGCACAAAATGGGGGAATTGTGGGGGAAATTGCTGTTAACCTTGGTGTTGAACCTGACCCCATCCCACTCTGTGACAAGACCTATGCACTATATGCAGCATAGGCAAGAGCGATAACGCAAGAGGCCTACAGGCCTGCATCCTGTAAGACTTCGCTTAAGCTAAGAGCATTTGCATATGCTGGGCCGTGGTATTTTGACCCAGATCACAAAGTAGGCCAACCTCTAGCCTAGCTCAAGTCCCTAGCTGTCCATTATATGCAACCCCCGCCCCCCGAACCTGCAAAAGCCCCGAGACAAAACGATGCCACAAGCAAACTGCAGATCTTAATAATAACAAAGTGCGTCAGCACAGTGCTAATTATAAAACTGTTTACTTTGGCTCCTTATAAGGCTTTATTAACAATGCTTAAGTAATAAAAAAATTAAGAAAATGTATCATTTAACTTAAATGTAAAAAACTATATAAGACTGGTGGTATAGGGGCAGAACAGAGAAAGACCAGAGTAGCACCTGCTTGTGGCCATCTCTGTCTCCTTCTCCCTGCATGCTTGTATTCAAATAAAAAAACCTCAAACTGTTTGAACCGAACAGATGGTGTGACTCGTTTTCCACAACAAATGTAACATTAATTTTTTATTAATAGTAACTTTATTTTTTATTTTGTTTGTTTTTGTTTTTTTCCTCATCTCATCCCTGGAGAAAACCTTTCCAGTTCAACGCAATTATTAGTCTGATTCTGTGGCTTGCTCCTTTTAGGTGAATCCTTTCACATTTCAAGATCCATGAAGAAATTGAATGTCTTTGACAAGATGTATTAATTCCCTCCCTCCCTTTAAACATAGCTCCAGCTCCTGCCCCTGTAACTTCAGTAACTTTGTGGGAGAAAGGGGTTGCTATGACCAAGTGCAGAAACTAAGGTGCCTTTAGAGTGCTGCTCTACACCTAAATTCATCAGTAGGGGGAGTGCTTTAAGGAGTACCTTTTAAAGAGTTTGAGAGCTCTGCTTCTGATGCTCCTCACAGCACAATACCTTCTGCGTAAAGAGTAGATTAGAGGTTGATGCTGCTGACGTTAATCTTTAATTTTCATTTAACTTCTTGCAGAATCGAAAGTTTAATTCTTTGGATTTGTACAATCCTGTACATGTTACAAATTAAGCAGTTAACTTCACAAATCCACTAAACTTCATAACACCCTTATAAAGTAGGCAAGCATTTATCCCTGTTTTGCAATGTAATATTCAGTGCTCATAACAGTAACTATTGAAATATTGCTGCTTTTTGTAAAGAAATCTTTGGAAAATATGAAGTGCTAGAAAATGTTGATCTTGTAAAATTATTTCTTTCTAGGTTCTGTGTACTGCACCAAGTGAAGTGACTCAAAATGCCCCTCAATGATGACCAGAACAGTGATTTTGATTCTTCAAGGCTATCTGAAAGCACAGCTTCTTCCAGTGACTCTGAATATTCAAGGCAGAGTTTTACTAGTGACTCTTCAAGCAAACCCAGCTCCCCAGCTTGTAAGCAGATTTAACCTGTAAAATAGAGATATAGGCTATATTTGTGTATTTTCTTGGGTGTCCCACACATGTAGTAGGACTTGGGATTTATAGTTGGTACTTCAGAGAGTGTTAGGAGAAAGGCACAGCTTCTTGTTTAGATCACCACATCTCCAAGGGGTACAGTCTGCCACCATGAAGCACAAGCAGATCCTTCGTATACATGCAACAGTTGTTACTACTTCCTTCTAAAAGAGTAACCAAAGTTTGCCTGGCAGGACATTCTTGTCTTGGGTTATTCTGGCTTTGGCTTATAGGTTACAAAATAGTACCATTCTGTCCATCCACCAAATGTTGCTTCATGAACAAAGGACAGGATGCCTCCATTTTGTCTTTAAACTTCAGAATTATGAAATCAAATCAATAGTGTTGTGACTTTGTTTCATTGAACAGTAAGAAGTCAAAACATAAAATAGGTGAAGCAAGTTATTTTGAATGACTTATGAGAATAAATACTACTGTACATAAAAAGCACTTAATTGTAGAACACTTCACTGATGCTAACAAATCTTTTTCGTATGTATACATTTGTCTGTTTAAAAGTAAACTTGTTAATGGAACTGAAAGTTTGTATTTGGTATGTGCCCTGTCCTGTATCACTCTTCTCAAAAATATAGTTTCCAAATGTGAAAAATAAACTACAGAAGTTTATTTTAGAAACTTTGTGAGCAATCACTCCTTCTTTCAAGTAAGAATGTGGTATGTCCTTCGCAACATAAACTCTTCAATCAGAGACTTGATTAGTGGGGCAAAGACACTGTAGCATATGCTATGGAACAGAAGCTGCATATCTCAAAGTAATGAGTTTAGACTGTGGTTACAATGATTGTGGAGAGAAATGCATCCATTTGCTCAGTAATAACATGCAGCCTGTATGCGTGCTTGCTTATTTTGACTCTTATGTAAAACCTGCCTGTCCAAAACTCTGGGTTATTTAATGGGTCCTGTGTTTAGTGTGAGAGGGGAACAATGGCCAAGATATCAGAGTAAACTACTGCTCTTCAAAACATGCCATGAGAGTCTTCTACCTTCCAAAGATGAGCTGGGAGGGTCATTCATTTTACCAGATCATTTTAAGGAGATGCAAAGAACTATCAGTCTAGCTAGCTTCTCATAAATTAGTGTCCAGTTAACAGGAAATAAAATATCATGCCTAACTATTTCCATGTTTGGTTTTTGCAGTCCAATCCATCTTTTAAAATTGAACTTACCTACAATTGACTTGTGGCTCTCATTTCCTTTCCTTCATTACAGCAACAAGCCCTCCAAAAACTGTTACATTTGATGAATTGATGGCTGCTGCAAGAAACTTGTCAAATTTGACTCTAGCTCATGAAATTGCTGTAAATGAAAACTTTCACATGGAACATGTAGACCTCCCACAGAACAGGTAAGTTACCCTTTATAAATTTTGCAGAAACTGATATGGGGTGTGTGTGTGCACGCAAGGGAAACGGGTCTGAGGGTACACAGCCTGCAAAGGTGTTCCACACTTAATGGGGAACTGTCAAGGCTGCAACATTGTGGCATAAGTGGTACAATTTGGTAGGTTTAACACATTTTCTTCTCCTGGAGCATATGATGCTCTGCCTTATCTGCAAGGGGAGATATGTAAGCAATGTGGTATGCACTCTACTTTTGGAGTCCACCTTTAATGTTTCTTGCCAATCTAAGATCTCTGTGAAGGGGTGGGGGGCTAAAGTTGTAGTACTGCCGTGTGTATGGCTTTTATCTATACAGCTTACTTAATAGCTCAAATGCTGTGTATAATCTATATACTCATCTCAGTAATGAACACAGTACTCATGCTGCTCTGCAGACTAAAACACTTCTGGGAAGTTGGAGGAAGAAAGGAATAATTTACATACCCAGTTTAGACTACAGTGGGAATGTTGAGAGATTATCATTTAAAATGGAATCTGGCCATGCTATTGAGCCAATTTTTACAAAAAATACAATGGGATTATTATTGATGATAAGTTCTTTTATTTGTATATAATATGCCAAAAAATGCTTCCCCCAAAACATATTACTCAATAGCAACAAGGTAGTGGAATTTGTTTAATATAGAGTTGGGATAAAAGCCTTTTATACCCAAATACTGAATTTCCAACACCACTTTCTGCAATATCAGGATTTTCTTGGGAAACCTCTCATTTTAATTCTTAATCCTGCTTAGTTTTGGGGGGTGATAACCCGGGGTCCAAGGGTGATCTGGTTGCAGATATAGATCTTCGAATTAGCAGATGTGATGATGGTTCTCTACCGAATCATTGGACTGGTTTAAGATTGTGCGTGCTGGTTGTTTTTGTTTTTAAACTCTGTTTACTTCTTTAAATCTTTTTGTGCAAATTGATTTTCCAGCAGTTTGGAGGGTAGAGTGAAACAAATTGTACATAAGGCATTCTGGGATCATTTGGAGTCAGAACTGAATGAAGATCCTCCAGAATATCATCATGCTATCAAGCTCTTTGAAGAAATTAAGGAGGCAAGTTAGTTTTTATTTCCCCCCCTTCACACCCCCAGCATTGTGTTGACATCATAGGCCCCATCCTGCAAATGATTCCATGTGGGTGGACCCCCACTGTAGTCAGTGGGATACTTCTACGTGTTAGTTGCAGGATGGGGATGTGATAGAGTACTATAGTATGCCTAGAATACAAAGTCAGACATCAACTTTTCAAATAGGATCAAGATCTTCCCTTATTACTGGAAATCCTGGTACCAATTCATTAACTTTTTAGTAAAGACCTAAGGGTGTTTCTGAAAGGTTGCAAAGGTCTCAACCAGTAAGCCAGTAAACTTGTCTTCACCAGCTTCTGTATCTGTATTCTATTCCCTTTGGCTGCTTTCTCCCATCCTGCTAAATAAAATAGCCTTTCCAGATTCGGGATTTGCAGTCAGGCTCTACAGTGTACCCTTGATGTCTTCAGAAAGCTGCTTTCATTTCATCACCGTTATTAAGGGCTTGCTGGTCTCGTGTTGCTGCACTTATTGACATGTCTTATGGCTTTTTGGTTTTGTTTTTCACTTCAGACTCTTCTTTCCTTTTTAACTCCTGGAGCGAACAGGATTCGAAACCAAATCTGTGAAGTCCTGGATGCAGATCTTATAAGACAGCAGGCTGAGCATGATGCTGTTGACATTCTTGGGCTAGCTAACTATGTCATCAACACTATGGGGAAATTATGTGCTCCAGTAAGAGATGATGATATAAAACAGTTAAAAGCAACTGTCAATATTGTAGAATTGTTCAGGTTGGTGTTTGGCTACTTTTCATATCAAAGTTTTGTTTGTTTATTTAGAAAATATCAATTTGACAGACAAGGTGTTTGGGTGGAGAAGAAAGGAACTCAAAACTAACATTAAACTGGAATAGCGGGCTAAGCTAAGAAACTGCCGAAATGCTTTCATTTGAAAGAGGTGTTGGTTTAGAGTTTAGTAACATGGTACTTCATTTAAGAGTTCTAATTGTTTTGGGTTTTTCACAAGCATATTTTTTCAATGGTGTATGTTAGTGTTGCCATACCCTGAAAAGTGTCACCATTTTTAAAAACAAAAACGTCATGCAGTTCCATGTGTTTTGTGCATGCTTCCATATCAAACTTACTTATTCTTACAAGTTAAAAGGTGAGTGTTCTTTTTTAGAACTGGCAGGGGGGGAAAAATGTACACTCCATCTGGAACATGAAAGTGAAGCTCAGTTCTTTCTATCTGTACCATTCCCTTTATTAAAGACTTCACTCTTAAGGTTTGATTCACAAATCTGCATGAGCCTCAGATGTATTAGCCCTGTAATATTAAAAATAGTTTCTTGCTGTATTATGTTTTTGCTATCACTTAGGTATACCTACAGGGAGCAAAGTGGTTGAGTAGGAGGGAATGAGGTGTTTTGTTTTTATTTTGGCATAATCAGAGTTGCTAAAATTTTTTAAATTTCAGTTTGCTTTGACTCCATATTGCTTCAAAACCTTTCTGTTATTGGTCTATGGCACCAGTGTCTTGATCATGCAACATCTTTGCCCTACTTTTTGTAACTTACACCAAATATCTCAATACATTATTTAATTCTCCAAAATGCTTTGGTATATAAACTACCATGTGCTAGTACTTTCTCTTCAGTACTTGGAGCCTGTTCTCTAAGGTGGAAGGACTACAAAACAAGTCAAGTATGTAGGTGTACATCAGGCTGTTCAAGAGCATATGAGCTCATCTTGAAACTTCAACCTAATTTCTTCTGTGATGTTGCACTGTAATTTTGTCTTTGCTTTCAGACAAATATTCCATGTTCTGGACCTTATGAAAATGGATATGGTTAATTATACCATTCAAAATATTAGACCACAGCTTCAGCGTAACTTGGTGGACTATGAAAGAACAAAATTCCAAGAAATTCTTGAAGAAACACCAAGTACGTATTACGATGTTTTCAGTTAATCAGATACAGTGGAAACCATTAAAACCAACCTTTCTCTCTGTTACTATAGATATCTGTTGAGCAAGGCACCTGGGGGCAAATGTGACCATATCATACCTTTATATGATAACGAATAATTGTGAAATGCTGACTTTATTGGTACTGCTGTTGCAAATTCATTAGACAACACCACAAGTACTCCTTTTCTTTTTGCGAATACAGACTAACACGGCTGCTACTCTGAAACCTGTCAAAATGATACAGTTTGTGAAGAACTTGTTCCTGCAATCAAAGCATCTGAGATCTGATTAAAACAGTTCTGCATACACAGGGCTCAGTTTTATCTTGCAATATATGGAACCACTCTCCTGTGTATCTGAAAATCTGCTCCTGCTCATGTGCACATGTGTAGCTGGCTTTTCCAGAATACATGCCATTACATGCTATGTAATTGGTAGTAGGCAGAGGCAGGATTAAGTCCATAATGAAGCATAGAACAACAAAACCTATTCTCTAGTGAAAATAAATGTTTAGTTTAGTTTAGATGTTGTAAAGGCAAAAGTGAGTCTTGTTGCACTGTAAAGATAATATAGCTAAATCATTGTTAAGAAATTTTGGAAGAGGAAGGGAAACTGGTGACATTGATGGCTAATGCACTAGACTTCTGAAGGTTCAGATATCTGTATTTAAATCTTGCTTATGGCTCCAGTGCCACGAGTCTGCTATGGGGTTTTTATAACCTGTCTAGAAGCTTCAGCTGGTCACCTGTGTTGGCTAGGTGAAAAAAGCTTGGGGGAAAACTGACTTGAGCAGACTTAACAGTTCACTGCAGTATATTTAGAGATCGGAAATGGAGTTGTCTTGTTCACCTTCATTATTTGTCAATATGCTGTACACTTGCATGGAAAGTTATACAATAAACCTGTGCAAAATTTTGTTCTTGTTTAGGTGCTCTGGATCTAACAACAGAGTGGATAAAGGAGTCAATAAAAGATGAATTGTTGTCTGTTTCTTGTGAAACCTCTTCATCCCCTGGTGCTGATGGTAGCTCTAAACCAAATCTCAGTCCTACTCTGGTGCTAAACAATGGCTACTTGAAACTGTTACAGTGGGATTATCAGAAAAAAGCAATTCCAGAGGTAAGAAGTGAATTCTCATAGCTCTTCTTAAATTATCCCAGTGCCTCAAAATGTACTCTTAATTCTAATTGCATGAAAGTACTGGTACAGCAGTTATGCTGTTCATGATGCTAGATGTCGTGGAACTCTCCTGGAGGACTTCTCTTGCCAAATAATTCCACAAATTTCGTAGTTTCATAGTAGCATGCTCCATAATCAAGGAGCACGTTCCTGGTAAGTATCAGTTGCTTGTTGTTCCCTGCATTACAATGTCTTAGTGCTGACGATACTATATGTGTGTGTATGCACTTGTGTGCATGCTCTCTCCTCCAACAAAGTAAGCAACAGCCTTACTAGTTACCTTAACTGTGAGAAGAGCAAACTAATGTTAATGGCTAGAGAATTTTCTCCAAGAGTGAATTAATAGGACAGCAGTTTATCAGTTCACATTATGATCTTCTTGCCATGGACAAAGGCAGTGCATCCGTTCTGATATTACTGGACTTCCCTGTAGCATTTAAGACATTTGACCATGGAATCCTGCTGTCCTGCCAGAAATAGCAAGTATTAGCAGGTTCCTGCTAATAAGAGTTGGTCATTCCCCTTGGGCCATATATAGAATCATGATTGGCAGCTGCTTTGCCATCTGGAGAGTCCTCCAGGGATCAATCCTATTGAACTGTATGAACCCACGAGAGGAAAATGGTAAAGCAGCATGACTTAAATGGTAGCAATAGGCAAATGATGCCTAGCTCAGTTACCTGTACAATTAGTGGTGTGTTTAATCTATCTGCTAGCTGTCTAAGTACTTGGCTGAGAATAACAATGAATGAAGACCAGCTGGCAGCAGTTAAACCCAGAAAGACTGAAGTGATGCTGGTGGGGAGAAAGGAGCATTTACCAACTCAGTAACCTCACTTTGAAGGACATGTAGTGTTAGAATGTGAAGATTTTGCAGCATTCATATTCACCTGAACTGTTTACAACCTCTGAATGCCTTTATGCCCAGAGCATTAAAACATGCCCTCTTCTATCTGAAAGACAAGGTGGATGAGGAAATATCTTTTATTGAACCAATTTTTGTTGGTGAGACAGACAAGCTTTCGAGCTGTGTAAAACTCTTCCATCTAAGGTTGGCAAGAAGACTGCTCATGTTCCTGTCAGATTTGTACTTCTCTATCGAGTTGCATGCATATGTGCGCTCTAGGCTTGATGATCTTAATTCTCTTCCTATGAACGAAAACTGTAGACTAGGTTTTTGTAAACAAAACTTTAATGTGGAACACTGTAGCCTTGCACTGATGAATAATTGGATGCAAAGAGCACATGAACCCAGTGTTCTCTGTGACTGGCTCCCTGTTCCATACTGGGTTACAGTCAAGGCTTTAGACCCCTGTATGGCATTGGCCCAAGTTCCCTGAATGACCACCTCGGCCTGTTTGAGCACCATCTCTTGTGACAGCTCCATTCCACTGCAACAATGGCACTGTCCTCCTCAATAGTGAAATCTCTATGCAACAGATAACTGTTCGGATATAAGTGGCCCGTTAACCTGGAATTCTCCGCAAGAGATCAGAATGCTGCTAAGAACCTCAGAACTTTCGGAGAAAATGGCCAACTCACTACTTTGACTTAGCCATCCCATAACAATGCACTATACCTATCTTTAAGGAAAGGGGTAGGAGTGTGGGAGAAATCCAGTCTCTCTTGACTGGAGGGAAGAGAAATATATCAGAACATGTAGGCCCCAGTCCAGCATAGTATTTAAATAGTCTGAGTAGTCCCCATGAAGTAAATGGGACTACAAGCATGCCTAAGGATAACTCTGTGCTTAGATATTTGTCAGGATCGGGGCCTTAATTTTTGGAGAATCACTTTGATGTCACAGTGATAGGGCTCCATATAAGAAGCTAGATGAACAGTCTCATTGTGATACTCTAGTAGTTATTTTTCCATTGCAAACTGCTGAAAGAGTAGATACACCTTAAAATCCACCAAAGTGTCCTGTTACGAACATTAAATTGTTCATATACAACAGATGTTTTATGACTAGTTACTGTTACTACTTGGAGCTGGTCAAAATATTTTGAATTTTTAACGACACAACCCACCTGAAACTATTAAGTCTTCTTTTTTGAAACCCAGTTCTGTATACATTGGATATGCTCTTCTGCTTAGTGTGGGTGAATTTGTTTAGTCTGAAAATGATTAGCATCATCCTGATCCTGGGATGCTTCAGGGGCTTAAGTGGCCACCTCCTAGGACTGTCCTGTGGACAGCAAGCTGCAGCCCCTCCTCCCCTTCCCCCCCACCACACACTTGGGCTCACAAGGGAGGCTTCTGAAGGCAACCTTAGGTCAGTCTTCTGCAGTTTGCACACTGAAGGAATTCTCCCTCAACTGTGTTCAGGACTTCTAGGGCTCCTTATGCCACTATGGCCCTCCTTACTTTCTGTAAAAGGGCAAGAGTTGGGGTAGGACTCATCCATACATTTTTCTATTTCTTGGTTATTTAAAAAAAATTGTTTTTTTTAAAGGAACTGTATAATACTACATATGCAAGGGGTTGGCTATAATTACTGTGAATTTCTTGACTCTTGAGCACTGAAATTTTCTGCTGCAATGTTGCATGAAAGTAGCTTCTCCTCTGCCCCCCTCAAATTACTTGTTAGGACATTAGCTTAAGTCTTAACTTGATATCACTTACAGTAATCAATGTTGTTCTAATTCTAGACGTTAATAACAGATGAAGTTCGTCTTCAGAAGTTGAAAGAGAAGCTGAATGAGTTACAGATTATAGCCTGTGTATCTCTTATAACTAGCAATATGGTAGGCCCAGCTATTGTGGGCTTACCTGATTTTGCTGACAAATTAAAAAGGATTTCAGCTGTTCTGCTGGAAGGGATGAACAAGGAGTAAGTTTTTTCTCACTCCCCCCTCCCATTTTAAAGAAAAAAGCCAGTTGGCTCGTAACAAACTTTACTGATTTATTTATTTTTACAGAAATAGTTAACATGTATAGCCTATGCACCTTGTTACTGACATGACATGATAGTAATAATCCATTTATTATGTATCACTCTTAGACCTACATGTGTACTAGTGAAAACAGTTGCCTGATGCAGTGCAATGAAGTTTGATAACTCCTGCGACCCCCTTCTGACAACAAAAATTACTACATGACCCCAGGAGAGGGGAACAAAGCCTGAGTCCAGCTGATTCCCACTGCTCTGGATAGAAGAACCAAAGTCCAAGCCCCACTGACCTGGACGGGGTAGGGGTCAAAGCCAAGTCCAACGGCTTCAGTCCCCTCCAGGGGGGCTGTAACCTGAGCCCTGTTGCACAGGGCTGAATCCCTTGGGCTTCGGTTTCAGCCCCAAGCCCCAGCAAGTTTAAGCCAGCCCTGGCGACCCCATTAAAATGGGGTCATCACCTAAGTTCCCTGTAAGCTGTGCAGCAAGGTGCCTTTCCCCCGGTCCGGCCCGGTCCAGGCCCACCGGAGCTGCTGGGGAGAGGAGCCCCTCCCTGTGCCAGGCCCAGGCCCATCAGAAGTGCTGGGGCTGGAGAGAGGAGCCCCTCCCCCAGCCCAGCCTCGCAGGAGCTGCCGCAGCCAGGGAGAAGTGCCTCTCACCTGGCCATCGCAGAGCCCTCATCTCCCACACACCAACTCTCTGTCCCAGCCCTGAGCAGGACTGGCTCTAGGCACAAGCAAAGCAAGCACGTGCTTGGGGTGGCACAATTCCAGGAGTGGCATTCCGGCTACCGGTTTTCTGGGGTTTTTTTGCGCTCGTGGAACTTGGGGTGGCAAAAAACCTAGAGCCGGCCCTGGCCCACAGCCCCCTCCCACACTCCAAACCCCTCAGCCCCACCCCCACCACACATCACCTCCATATTGGTGCACATAACAAAATTAATTCTGCACATGGACCTAAAAAATTAGAGGGAACACTGGTCGTGTCCCACTTTGGGGTCCCGACCCACAGTTTGAGAACCACTGGCCTAGTGCATCCATATAGTTTAATTCTTTTTTACAATTTAAACTTTTGTACTGAAAATCTGACACCAAATTCAGTGTATAGTGTTGAAATTGCTCCACTTATGCACCATTCAGGTCGGCACAGACTGGCAGTGCAAGCTTCATCATGTTGCTCTGCCAATTGCTCCAGCCTTTCACATTATTTATTCAGTCTCTGGCTCCTCTGCTGCAACTGCCACTAGTGCTACAAATTGTGGTGATTTTGTGTGTGTGTGTGTGTGTTGTGGACACTGCCCTATATGGACTGATGTTAAGAATAGAAACGTGGTTCACATATGCCACCAAACAGCTGTTTGGTTGTAACAACTCTGTCAGTCATTACTTGGGCAATTTGTACTGTGGACAGGTTCAGCTAAGTATACTTAAGTATTTTCCAGGACTGGCACCACAGTATTTAAGTGCATGTTTAACTTTAAGCACATGTATTAGTCTCATTGAAGCCAATAGAATTTAATCATATGAGCAGTCTTCTCTTCCTCCTCCCTCACATCCCTGCCAATGGGATCTACTCTTATCCTGGGGTGGAATATTTGTGTCTTATATCTGGAAAGCGGACAAAGTTTGCAAAAATCCACCTGGCTCTCTTATTTTATTGGAGATGACTCATTTAAAAAGAAAAGGGAGGGGGTGTGTGTCAAAATAGCTATGTGACTGATGTTACAAGAACTGTTAGAGTTAAATGCTCAAACTTTTTTTTCTTTTCAGAAAATTTGATTTGAAGGAGGCTCTGAATACTATAGGTGTTCAGATTTGCAGTGAGGTGAACAGGTCCCTGTCTGAGAGAGGATTTCCCACTCTTAATATGGAAATTCAAAACAGCCTAGTGGGTCAGATCTGTAGCATTGTTGAAGAAGAAAATCCCATCAGCTCCCTGATTGGTTAGTATAATTTATGTGGTTCTCTGGTTGTATGCATAATTTTTTTAAATAAATGAAGGCTAATGGCCCATCCATACTGTAAAAATTAAATCGCTAGAGTTAAAGATTGCCTAATTATTGTGAAAAAGTTAAAATGAAAGTAACTTTCTTACAGTAAATATTGGGTCATAAAGTGTGCAAACCTGTGCTGCTTCTATTGTTTATATTAAGACAGTCTTCTGAAAGATTAGTTCGGGGCGGGACAACAAAGTTAGAAAGAGTCCGCAAATATGAGCAGAATGCTCTCAGTGATTCTGGGATGTTCTCTGTGAACCTAGAAGTACCAGGATTTCAGGGGGGAATTTAATTTATACCTAACTGTGGATTGTGTGCACCAGTGGAGGATCTATCTCCCACAACTCCAGGTTTAACTCAGTCTTAATTATAGCCGTGCATCTATTTCACAACATAAATCCTATTGCTCAGTCTGAAGGCTGTCCCTCTACAATGGGAAACATTTGACTTTGTTCTAAATTAAAACTGAAGGAGGAAGGTAGGGAAAGGTAGCATTCAAGATGTGTCTCTGCTTATTTTGATTCTTCCATGTGCCAGTGTGTGAAGTATTTCTAAGGCAACTGTGGCTTGACGCTTTGGATTTACATTTATATGGTTTGTTCTATCATGAACTCAGTTATCTTTTCTGTTTCAGATAAACGAATCCAGCTGTATATGAAAAGCCTTCTTACTCTTCCAGGCATTCAGAAATGTATGCCTATGATTCCAGGAGGCCTTGCTGTGATTCAGGTAGAGATAGAGTCTATTGGATCTCAGTACGCAAGCATTGTGAATTTTAATAAACAAGTGTATGGACCATTCTATGCAAATATTCTTCGAAAACTGCTTTTTAGTGAGGCACCAATGGGGAAAACAGAAACTGGTGATTCTACTAATTGAGGAAAAAGAATGATCTGGTTGTGCATCCAGCCCTTTTCCTTCACAGTGTTTATTACAAAGATATTGTGAACTCTGTTCCCTCAATGTGCATAATTTACTCCAATGACTGTTACCGAGACAGGGACAAACAGAGGTGTATCCAAAGGCAAATAGACCCTATAAAGTGTGTACAAGTAAAGCTTCCAAAATTCATTGGAAGGAAACTAATTAATATATATTTTTTCATGAACTAAATCTGTTTAATGGATTTTAACACTCATTGTACCTGATCACTGTAAATGTCTTCTTCCTAAGCAAGCATTTTTGACTTAGTGTAGATTTGGAAAAGTACCTCTTGGTTTTACCACCATTACAATTTAATCAATGGAACTCTTTGCACTCTTCTTAAAAAAAATTACTAAATACATTATGTATACTGGTGCAGTGACATAAGATGAAATTTTAGTTCATATGTACTTAACTTACAGTGCTCTATTGGTGACACTACATAACTGAATATGGATCACTTCTTGAAAGACTTAGAGAGGAAAATATAGTGTAATTGAACTTGTAACAAAGTAAAGAATGAAATTAGGCCAAATTCTGATCCCAATAACTATATCAGGATTTTACCTATCTTTCACTAGCGCATGCCAACATTACTATAAATGGTGTTAAGTGTACCAGTTACAGAGTGAATACGTCTTGCAAAATAGAAACATTTCAGAATTTTGTCAAATGTAATCCAGCAATAAAAGATAAGTCTAACAATTCTTTTATTCATAGAAAACTAACTTGGGTGCTGACTTCAATTTCCTTACACAAACAAATGGTTCTAAAAGTTCTCTAATAGAGGTCATATTGTCCTTTAATTTAAACATTTGGGGGCCTAATCTGCTTTTTATACATGTAGCAGTTGCGCCTTTGATCTTCAGAGATGCTTAAGCACCTCTGAATTGGGACTTTAAGCCTTTGATCTTGAAAGCATTTAAGCACAAGAGTAGCCTTACTGACTTCAAGGGAACAATTTGTGCTTAAAATTAAGCATGTATTTAAATATCTTACTGGATTGGGGCCTAAATTTTGAATGTGAGTAGTGATTTTGTTCACTGACTGGATATTTCAATTTTTTGGGTCTCAAGTTCCGCAGCCAAAATCTGTCACTAATCACTTTTGGAAATTTAAGCCAAAAGCTATTAATTCCATACTCGTTAGGCAAATGCTGTAGCCTAGAAGCTGGCATGATGCAAAGCCGCTGGAGACCATAGAAAGACTCCCACTGTCATGAATGGGCTTTGGAGCAGGCCCATTGGGTCATTGGAGTCTTGCAGAGATTGTTGGATTGGACCTTTGATATGGGAATAAACTTCAAAAAATCTACACAATATAGACAAATTATTTTGCATATCTCACATTACTAGATATGAGTGCTGAAATATTCAGTGTAAAATGTTCCCATCTTGATCAGAGTTAATCAAATATACTCAAAATATATAATTGTAGTATTTGTGACTGTTAAATAGTGAATTAATCCTATTTTTAAATGTCAAAAAATGTAAACTTTGGCTGGTACAAGTTTCCAGATATCTTCCTAGTGTTTTATATACAGTATATTTTTATTTAAAAAATAAACTTTGCCCATATGGGATTAATGTGCCACACACAATATATAGCACAACTAGTGTATCTCCCATGAAAATTTAAAATAGCTGGGCATTAGAAGCACTTTGGGTTTATAGTCCAACCTCCTTTTTACAGAATTAGGTTGTGTTTTTGTTTTGTTTAGCAGGGAAAACATACTTTTTAGACAAGAGTTTCTCAAACTGAGGCTGGTGTCCCAGGAAAAACAAAGCAGGACTTATTTTTAACTTTTTTTGGATGGTTTCCATGTGGGACTAAGCAACAGCAGACTCATGTATTAAGTGCACACTCTTCTGGATTCATGTCAAAAGCTACTACTGACATTCTATCAATGTACATGTGGGGGTGGAGGGAGGCTAAAAAGTCTCAAATTGCAACACTTCTCAATGACTTCTGACCCCATTTCCTCTTTATGCCATGTTAAAAATATTGCACCAAATAGATGAGTACAGTTTTTAGTCTGAGAAACTCAAAATTGAAAGGAGCTGTTACAGTGTAACAAGTGTGCCAGGGAAGTGGTATATTCTTGTCTTCATGAATATGGGACTTCAGTACATGTATCAAGAGAAGAATATATCCCAAAAGCTGAAAAGGGAAGTTCTGTTAGTAATTCCGTAACCTTGGGAAATCCAACTTTTCTAAATTTGTGCTTTGGGCCTAAAGAAAAGATTTTATGTTGAAAATGTACAAAAAATTGTATTGTAACTTTCTTATCATAGCAATTTACCTTTCTAAACTTTCTAGTGTAAAACAGAAAAATTTACTCTGGTGAGATCAGTTGGAGCATAGTTTATAAACCTCTGGTCTAAAACATCTGGGAAATTGTCACTGTAACTTCCCACTAGAAAATGAGAACACAATAGTTCGTTTGCATTGATGTGACTTTTTTTTTTTTTTTTGAAGGGCATTTTATAGCATGGTATAGGTTGGAGATCACTTAAACATTACAATTAGGATATATTTTAATAGTGCTTTGGATGTAGATGTTTCCTCTAACTTCATCTGTTGCATGCTCATGGATCAAATGTTTACCTCCCGTCTAAATTTTGCTTCTTGAAAATAGACAATTATGTAGCAGTAGCTTTATTAGAAAAAGTACAAATGAATTTTTGTGGTGTGCATTTGTGTTGTTTTGGTTTTGTATGCATTAAAAGTCTGTTTGTAGTAAAACTTTGGAGATAAGTCATTCATGCAAGCTGGTTCTCAATTTAAATATAATGCAGTCAGCTATTTTGATACATTATTGCAAAATGACTTCTGTAACTTTTCTCTTTTTTCAAGGAGTCCTTCAGGAATGTATCCTATTTAAATAAAATGGAAGAGCAGTTTTAAATGTAGTTGTAGAAGTGGCTTAAAATAGCACGTTCTGACTCAAATCTGTTTTCTAATTATGTATTGTGACATACCAGGTGCATTCCAGACTAATGAGGAGCTTTATCACTCCTGCCCTGCAAGCCTGGGTGACTTACAATGCCTTGCTGAAGTAGCTCCTATCAGGGTCGTTCACAGACACCCTTCCAACATACAAGCCACACCCTATGTGTCTGTGTAACTGCAGGCTGCCAGCGACACTTGAGTTACACACTGACTCTCACCAGCCTTAGTTTATATGGCAGGGTGACCGCAACACACCCCCAGTCCCAGGTTTCTCCCCAGAAATGTGTCCTGTACTGCCCAGCCCTCTCCTAGATATTATGTAGTATCTTAAATCTGTTATTCTTTAAAGGGAATAATATGCCATTTTCTTATCTCATAGTTATTCAGACACTTCAATTTAAACACCCTGGATTAGATAAAATTGCAAAAAAATGTATTAACTACAAAGAGATTTTAAGCAAGTAAGAGTAATGAGGCATAAAAGTCAGAAATGGTTATAAGAAAAATAAACAAACATAAGATGTTTAGTAATACCTAACTTAATAAACTACAACAGATTCACCACATGCTTTCAGCCATCATATTGATCAACCCCTGTAGGTCAGGACCACCCGCACCCTAGAGTCCAACAAATGTTTCCTTTTTTGCTTCAGATGCACTAAATGCAATGGGCAGGTGGAGAGAGTGGGGCCTTGGGGCACATGTCCCTCCTTTTTCTAGTTTGTCCCTCTCTTGAAAAACATTTCCAACTAGTCAATAGGAGACAGAGGCTATGTGGAAGGATGTTCCCTGCTGGGTTTTTCTCACCTGTTTGAGCTTTCTTTGCTTCCCTTCCTGCTGGATGACTGTGTTTACTGCTTAAATACAAATTAGGCAAAGCCCACATTCCTTTGTTTAGGACAGACCAGTCTACCAACCTCAGTTTGGGCAGGGGTATGGAACATGTCTTAATAACATTACAGGCAAATCTTATAACATTACATACAATGTTGCCATGCATACTTTATCAGGATTATACTGACTTGCAAATTATGAATTTTCAAATAATACAAGACCTGCCTTGTAATACATTTTGTACAATAATGTGTAGGATGCGAACATGGGTATTTTCTGTCACATGTATAGAGTTAGTCATAGCCATCCATTACTGTAATATCTGGGGCCCAGATCCTCAAAAGCATTTAGGCTCTTAACTTCCATTGAAATCAACAGAAGTTAGGAGCCCAAATACCTTTTGAGGATCTGGGCCTGACTGCCTTACACTTAATGGATTTTATTCTCACGTGCATCCCTTTGTCTATTAGTGACGTACATTTTTTTTTTTTACAGCTGCTTCCTATGTTGGCTTTGTAATGCTATAGCAATTAAACTGAATTCTATTTCTCCTTTGCACATTGTCCAAAATATTGTTACACACATTCCAATTGCAGGACAGTTTTTTTCATACGTATGCAACCTCAACTAATTGCCCAGGTTGGATGGTAGAAGTTAGCCAGTATAATCTTACTGGTGATGGTGCATGAGTGGGAAGGAACACTGCTTGATTTCTAATCTCAGAATGAGTTTGTAACTCCTAGCACCAAACTCTGCAAGAAAAGAGATTGAAAAGATTGCAGCTGTCTTCTTGTGAGAGATGGTGGATGTGTGTATGTATGTACAATAACAAATGGTGTAGAGCAGGTAAATTGGGTGTGTTATACCAATAAAATAAAAACCAGCAGGACCTTATTAAAGGGAAAAAAGCAAAATACCACATTTATTGTGAATACAGAAAGAATCATAGTAAGCAGTTAGTTATAGCTATAACATTCCATTCAATCTCATATTTATTCACACATTCATTCATACACACACACACACACACAGGTTCTGCAAGGTTGTTATCATAGTTACCAGCCTTAGAGTTGCTCATGCCAAGCCACTGGCCAGGTGGCCTGGACATGAGGAGGGAGCAGGGCCTTGTCAGATGCTCATCTGATGCTCCTGGAAGTTGGTTTGCAGAATCAGACCCCAAGGTTCTCACTTTCTAGAGTCCATTTTTATAGGAGTTTCTTCCTATGCCAGTCTATGGGAATTGCTTCATCATGCTGTTGCTGAATCAATCAGCAGATAGCACATTCCTGACAGCTCCGTGCTGCTAGATGTTATCTTGTTCTTTGGTTCTCCCATTCTTGAGGCTGTTGGGTGGATTCCCGTCTGCCCTCTGGGGGTCCTCTAGTTATTTCCACTTGACGCCTTCTTCAGCCGATGGACACTGGATTCTTAGGCTGGCACCTCCCTGATCATTCAGTTATTATCCACACCAAGCATCCATCCACATACATCCTCTATCTCTATTTTAATCACAATAGTTAATACAACAAAAGGGCGGGGAGTCTCTGGGTCCTGTTTCTGTTGCTACAGAGTATTGCTTTGAGTCTCTCTGTGTGAATTGCTTTGAGAACAGACTCTGTCTTAGAATGTACTAATGCAATTAGCAGCTTGCAAGTTTCACACATAGAGGGAGAGAAACAGTACCAAAACCCAAGAGACCTCTTAATTAGTAATACCCTGGAATTTAAACTATGGGGAATCAAACTCATTTGTGATTTTAATACAGAACTTCTTTAATATGATCCAACAGGTATGCCAGTTCATCCTCCTGCTATATGAGTAAGGGGACTCTCAGTGAACCCAGCTGGGGAACTTGTTACCACAAGCTAGTCTTGAGAGCTAAAATTCTAATTGGATTCAAAAAAGGGATCACAAACGTCTATGGATAACAAGCCAGAGTAAATGTAGAGAGAATTTTAAAACCAACCAACCAAACAAAAAACCCAAACAGTTAGATGGGATTAAAACCTAGAGCTGTTCAAAAAAGTTCTGAGAAGATATTTTGCCAGAATTTGCTGATTTTTCAAAACCTGAAATATCCCTGAAAATTCCAACGGAACCCAGGTAAGTTTCAAAATGTAGAAGGCTTTGTTTCTATTAGATCGGGGTGGCCAACTTGTGGCTCCGGAGCCACATGCGGCTCTTCAGAAGTTAATATGTGGCTCCTTGTATAGGCACCGACTCCAGGGCTGGAGCTACAGACGCCAACTTTCCAATGTGCCGGGGGGTGCTCATTGCTCAACCCCTGGCTCTGCCACAGGCCCTGCCCCCACTCCACCCCTTCCTGCCCCCTCCTGAGCCTGCTGTGCCCTCCGCCCCTCCCTCCAGAGCCTCCTGCACACCACAAAACAGCTGATCAGGAGGTGCGGGGAGGGAGGGGGAGGCGCTGACTGGTGGGGCTGCCGGTGGGTGGGAGGTGCTGGGAGCGGGGGGGATGACTGATGGGGGGCTGCTGACCTATTACTGTGGCTCTTTGGCAATGTACATTGGTAAATTCTGCCTCCTTCTCAGGCTCAGGTTGGCCACCCCTGTATTAGATGCTTTCATGCAGCCTCCCATCTAGCTCCTCAGCAGAGCTGCAGGTGGTTTGCCTCAGAGAGGGCTTTCGGAGTCCATGGTTTCAGGGCAGTCTGCCCTTTGGTGGAGGACTGTTGGGATCCTAATCTGAATAAAACCAAATTCTGAATTAAAATCCTCCATGAACGAGAATTACCTTTCTCTACACAGCTGTAATAAATCCCTCATGCTTCAGGATATAAACGAGCTCTCACTGAGATATATTGAGGAAAATTTTACTTTGTGGTTAGGATACTCTATAACTGCTGTGTGAACAATATTTTTTCAGGGCCGGGAGTGCGGGGAAGAGGGGCAGCATCTTCACCTGAAGCATCTGGTGTTGGTCATTCTCAGACACAGGGGCACAGAACTTCCAAACTAACAAAACCAAAAAATCTTCAGTTTGTTTGAAGCAGGAATTAACATCATTGGTGGTGGAGTAAAGTCACAGCTAAAGGCTGCTTTTAATTTACAGGCCTGTTTCTTGCAGCTTATCTTCAGGCATTAATATTATCCTCAATGTATTTCTTCAATAATGCACAGCATAGGGTTTCCTGGGGACTGCATATCTTATTTTAGAACCCTATGTTAGGGTAGCATCAAAACATGCAATCTGCATTTGTTAGATGCATTAGTTATCTCTATTTTGACAAACTTGAGTATACATTAGTGGTCCTTTTATTTCACTTTTATGTACATAGAGAGAATGTTATGGACAACAGCTATCATTTTTGATCTTCATCCTGAAGCCACCAAAACCCAGCAATCCTTGCCCTTTTGCTCCCAACTGCCAGAGTGCTAAAAATAATTTTTAAAAAGCCATCAAAGAGACACTCAGTGGAAAGAATCTGAACAGCAAATCAATAAATGGTTCATTTAAGCAGATGCTGAAGTCCAGCTGTGTCACCCTGCCTGCATCTGGTTTTACTTTCCACTCAATCTTGGGTTTCTCCTGCCCCCACCTTTTCAGGGGAAGGTGAGGGCAGGGAAGAACACTGTTTGGTTTGGTGATCAGCATGGATTAAAAAAAAAAGTAATTTAAATAATGAGATTTATAATTTAAATTACATTGTCTTTAAAGATAAACCAATTTAAAATTAAATTTGGAATTATGACAACCTATGTTGAGACCTAAACGTGATATAATCTATTAAAATAATTTAAGATAAATTTTCAAAAATATTAAACGGTACTTGTTTGTGGTCCAAGTTTTAAAGAAAGTCAAACCACTGAACTGATGACTAAGCACCAGCAACCAGAGTTTGTTGAAGTGTTAAACCAGCTTTTAACAGCAGTAGCCTCTTCTGCAAGTGCAGAGAGAATATTTTCTTCATTTCAGAGTGGTCAACTAGTTCAGTTCAATCACTAGTTCATTCAAAGTTGAGAAACTGATTGGGAGTTGATAAAGCAGGAAAACTTGTTTTCCTCTCCCAATCTGTAAATAAAAACTAGGGGTGAGCGGATAAGATCCGTTCTAAAATCTTGAAGGATATGGTACCAAAACAATCACTTCAATTCACTAACAACAAACAATATTTCCTTTGTTTAAAAAATCAGTTTTAAATTCAAAACAAGCTTATCAAAACATTTGGCTTTTGTTTCCAGAACACTGAAGGTAGTTTTATTTAACTAATACATTTTTAAAAGCTGTTTTACTCACTTCTAATTGAATTCCAATTTTCATCCAAATAGAGCTTGACACAAATCACAAGTAAAAAATTAACCACCTAGTAAATAAGAAATGCATCATTCATTATTTTCTAATGTAAAAATTAAGTATCTGAATAAATGTATATTGTTTAAATGTGTATAGCTATAGTGTATTGGTCTGGTTAGCGAAAGAATGCTTAAATTTTGTGTAAAGGGTAAATTTAGTTAAAAACTGTTGATTTTCAGGGATTACCAGCCAGTGTGAACCAGCTTTACTTGAGGGAAAATAACTAAAAAGTATAAATATAAATTAAGATTTAAACTTATTATTTAAATCAAGGTTTCCTGCTTCTGAATTAAATCAATCCACACTATTGGTGATGGGCTCTTATTTCCCTTTTAAATGTTTTTGTTCATATTGTAGGTTGGGTGTAGGGCTTTGATGTCCCTGACTTACAGTACTTTTAGAAATGTTTATTATAAAGCAGCATCCACCACTTGTAAAACCAATTAGCAACATATCAGGTTTTAAAGAGAAATAACCCTGGCCCAAACTCACTGTTGGCATAAGTGAGCGTTAACACCATTGACTTACACAGCCTTTAGAATTATAATAGTAACAAAACCATTCACTGCAAACTCCAGAACCTGCTTGGCCTTGCATCTTTAACTATCCTACTTGGTCATCACCTATATGAGAAAAAACTAGTATGCAGTTGTCAAGGTTCCTTCCCCACTCTGAACTCTAGGGTACAGATGTGGGGACCTGCATGAAAACCCCCCTAAACTTATTCTTAGCAGCTTAGGGTAAAACTTCCCCAAGGTACAAACTATTTTACCTTTTGTCCCTGGACCTTCTTGCTGCCACCACCAAGCGTCTAACAAATATAACCGGGAAAGAGCCCCCTTGGAAACGTCTTTCCCCCCCAAATCCCCCCAAGCCCTACACCCCCTTTCCTGGGGAAGGCTTGATAAAAATCCTCACCAATTTGCATAGGTGAGCACAGACCCAAACACTTGGATTTTAAGAACAATGAAAAAGCAATCCGGTTCTTAAAAGAAGAATTTTAATTAAAGAAAAAGTAAAAGAATCACCTCTGTAAAATCAGGATGGTAATCGGATTCAAAACAGAGAGAATCCCCCTAGGCAAAGCCTTAAGTTACAAAAAGACACAAAAACAGGAATATCCATTCCATTCAGCACAACTTATTTTATCAGCCATTTAAACAAAACAGAATCTAACACATATCTAACTAGATTGCTTATTAACCCTTTACAGGAGTTCTGATCTGCATTCCTGCTCTAGTCC